ACCTTAATGTCTAGTATTTGAATCTAAATAATTGTGGATACAGTGACCTTGACCCAGGTTGCCCTCACAAACAATGAGTACCAGGTAATGAACTGAGAGGCAGCTGTATAATGGTCGACCACATCACCCATCGAGTACCTCCTTTCTTTTTTTTTTTCTTTTTTTTCTCTGGTTAAACTCCAGTTAAACGTCTTGCTGTTTCGTCGACCTCTGGATTTTAGTCTTATTCCATGGCTTTGGTTTTGCATGCACATCTGTTTTACAGATCTGGCTTGTTTGTGTGAAGACTTTTGGTCCCTCATCTCTCAGGAGGGGCCTTAACTATTTTTTACCTCTGATGTATGGTTATGAATGTGCACGTAACATCTTGGTTGCAGCAGAGTGACTAGCAAAAAGGTTATGGTATGTCTGATTGCTGCACAGAACAGTGAGCTCAAAATGGGGGTGGGGGCCACCTGAGTGATCTCAATGCATGGCATCCGCCTCGAGTGCTGGAGGTCCTGGGTTCAGGCCCTTGTGAAGGGTGGAATTTTTTTTCACTTGGACTTCTAGTAATTTTCGCTGGTCTCTGGGTAGTAAGATTGGACGCCTGTGTGTAATATTGTGCACGTAAATAATCCCTTTGGCAGTTGAAAATCAAAAAGAGTAGCCTAACGGCGCCGCCCCGGAAAATTTGGAGTTAAAAATCTATCCAAAATATTTCAGGATCCTCTCTGGTGCAATGGAGATCGTGCACTGCACTGAGATTCTTCAGACTCAGGCTTAGGTAGAAGTAGAACGGAGCACTTATGGGCTACTACCCTTTTGCCATGATGTTGATCCATTGTATAAACCAAACCATTTAGCTCAAACACCAGTACGTGCCTCATACTGTACTTACTACAGGTCAGAAGAAATCACAAACCAATTAGTTGAAGTATCATTTGGAAATACATAATGGGAAAATGGAAGAGAGTATGTAGTGTCTGAGAAAGACAGTCATCATCATCATGAGCTAGATCCTTTGTGGTTTGCAGAACATACTCTTATGCTGGAAATCCACTCTGACTTCTGTTTCAAGGTGTCCTTGAAATCTTGTGCCCACAATTGTGGCCTTGTCTTCCCTAGAAGCATACCATCAGTTACTGATTCTCGGCAAATAGTTATGGCCAACGTTTTTCAGTTCCCGAAAATTAATCTCAGTATTTTTCATCTGCAGCGTCCGTGGCTTAGGCATTGCGTGTCCAACTCGTAATTCCAACATACCACGAACAAAACCCGCTGCCGACTGCATGGATTTTTATCGTGGCATGGGGCGTCGCAGGTTGATCCAGCCTAAAATGGGCACCATGATGGCTGTCTTGGGGAAGTAAAGACAGATGGCGTAATGCTGCTGCACACAGGACATTGCCACACATGTTCCGTCCCCTTCTTCAGTAGCCAATGAAGTATGAGTTATAAGAAAGTTATGGCTAATGTGTATATTGTGTGTACAATTGTGTACACTGTATTTTATCATTGACATAGCTTTATTTGCATGTAAATCTATCAGAACCTGATTATTATGCATCACTTACACATTATTTGATCTTTTTAAGGCAGAAGAGCTCATTTCTATAATCGGAGATGCCTTCAAGTCCACCTACACAGAGACAAAGAAGCAACCAACATTCCATGAGCTGATAGAACAACAGGTAAGCGCATAGTTTCAAGGTAATCCTATTGCTCTTACTGCCATTGAAGTTCTGTGCATTCACGTAGTCCATTATAGAGTAAAGTCAAATGGAGCCTTGTCATGTCTTTGTCACATCGGTCATGTGGTGCTAGACACAGTTTCTGTCAACCAGTTGGCACTAAAGGTGATGTGTCAGCATCTCTATGGCCAGAACATGTGAGGTACTCGTTTTAGCCTGGGTAAATCTGGGAAACCTAGGTCATCATCATCATCAATTTCCAATTCTACCATTAAGTGTCGTGGGGAGGAACAGTTTTGCGATCCACTGTTAGATGGGTAGCAATAGCTATTGTCATTTCGTGTCCATGTAGAAGCTCTTTAATGTCATCAGTCCATCTTCTCATAGGGCAACCCATTGCTTTATCAGATCTGTTCTTGTGTAGCACCTGTGTTGGTAGTTGTTCTGGCTGCATTCCTACTAGATAGTCAACCAATTGGTTTTCTGTTTCTCAGTGAATTTTCTGCATGGTGTTGTTCCCACAGTCTGACTGATAATATTGTGTCCCACTTTGTCTTGGATGGTTAAGTTTGTGTCTTTTCTCAGATATCTCATTTCACAGGTGTTAATTTTACGTAGGTTAGCCTTTGATAATGTCCAGGTCTAGCACTGGTAGCACAGTGTTGGTATGAATATATTGTTTATAATCTAGGTCAGTTGTTAAAAAATTGACAAGACTTTGAACCCTAGACCCTCTATCTGGTAGGTTAGAGCCCTAGACCCTCTATCTGGTAGGTTAGAGCCCTAGACCCTCTATCTGGTAGGTTAGAACCCTAGACCCTCTATCTGGTAGGTTAGTGTCCTAGGCCCTCTATCTGGTAGGTTAGTGTCCTAGACCCTCTATCTGGTAGGTTAGAACCCTAGACCCTCTATCTGGTAGGTTAGAACCCTAGACCCTCTATCTGGTAGGTTAGTGTCCTAGGCCCTCTATCTGGTAGGTTAGTGTCCTAGACCCTCTATCTGGTAGGTTAGTGTCCTAGGCCCTCTATCTGGTAGGTTAGTGTCCTAGGCCCTCTATCTGGTAGGTTAGTGTCCTAGACCCTCTATCTGGTAGGTTAGTGTCCTAGGCCCTCTATCTGGTAGGTTAGTGTCCTAGGCCCTCTATCTGGTAGGTTAGAGCCCTAGACCCTCTATCTGGTAGGTTAGTGTCCTAGACCCTCTATCTGGTAGGTTAGAACCCTAGACCCTCTATCTGGTAGGTTAGTGTCCTAGGCCCTCTATCTGGTAGGTTAGTGTCCTAGACCCTCTATCTGGTAGGTTAGAACCCTAGACCCTCTATCTGGTAGGTTAGAGTCCTAGACCCTCTATCTGGTAGGTTAGTGTCCTAGACCCTCTATCTGGTAGGTTAGAACCCTAGACCCTCTATCTGGTAGGTTAGTGTCCTAGGCCCTCTATCTGGTAGGTTAGTGTCCTAGACCCTCTATCTGGTAGGTTAGTGTCCTAGGCCCTCTATCTGGTAGGTTAGTGTCCTAGGCCCTCTATCTGGTAGGTTAGTGTCCTAGACCCTCTATCTGGTAGGTTAGAACCCTAGACCCTCTATCTGGTAGGCTAGTGTCTGGCCACTGCGCTATCATGGCTTCCAGTTTCCTCACACTCTCTTAAACTCTTCGCAGGTGCAGCAGCAGCAGGCCAAGTTCCGGGAGATCCAAGAGGAAGCCAAGAACGCTCTTCAGCAAAAATTGAAAGAGATAGCCACCCCTACTCCATTTTCAGAGAAAGCTCAGTTTCGTATGGAGCAGAGGAGGAAATCAGAGGATGTCCATTTGATGGTGGGCTCCGAGAAAGTGTGGGTAAGGCTGCAAATGCCTGTTTTATCCATCTGTCCTCTTATATTTTTGCATTTTCTATAGTCACACACCTTTGAATTGGTAAATGCACAGGGAGTTATATAAGGCTGATTTTGCTGCAGTTTTGTCGCTTGTGTGCACTTTTTCTTGAATCTTTTTTTAAAAAACTATTTGACAAGATGAAGCATTTTACTTGCTATTTATAGAAAGAATTTTTTGTTTTTGTTTAAAATAAATTCTAAATCTAATATTACTATCGAGAGACATACTGAGACTTTTGCATGGTGAAAAGATTGCACACACACGCACAGAGAGAGGGAGAGAGAATGTCAGTAACATTACATGGGATGTAGGGGTTGCTATTCTTCTCCTTCTTATGTATGGTCAATGCCTGGTGGTGTTGGTAATCATGTCTGTCCACAACTTTACTTTGCTACCATAGCAGTTGTAGGCTACAGTTTCTGTGTGTGTGAGAGCAGTGCCGGTGTGAGGTGGGTTGTCCTAGTCATTGTACCTGTAGTGGTAGAGTTGCTTTAAATCTCATCAAAACATCAATGCTAGCCAGCAGCAAAGTCAGTCATACTTCATTTCAACCACATTTTAATAGTAGTCTCTCTGTTATGTTTCCCTTAAAATAGGGGGTGGGAGTTGAACTTTCAGTGATCGATTTCTTAGAAGACCACTTGTCGGCTAGTCCAGCCTCATAACATTCAAATAAAAAGAAGGTCCCATTTCCACAGCACTCACTCAGTGGTCATTATTATGCCACCCACGTTTTCTTCCCAGGAATTTCCTGGCATCCATTTTAGGCCAGGTCAGTTTTAAAAGAGCCCACCTTAGTGTGTGAACTTGTTAGCACTAGTGAGTCTAGTCTCTGTTCCCCCAAAGTGGGGTCCTGGAACCCACACCGGCATAGTGATGATTGATCAAATAATATGGGCTAGGCACCATAGACCCAATGTACTACATGACACAGAAAGGAGTCTTTAACTTTTTGATCACTGAAGATTATATGTGCTGCCCAGTTGAAGCAGCAGTGACAGCAACATGTTGGGTGGGTGCGTGTGTATTTGCTTGTGCTGGTTTGTTCCTGGATACGTCACCTCATTGACCTGACAACCCTATGAGCATTGGTTCCCAAGCCATCAAGGAATCTTTCATTTTGTTTCTTTAGCTTTGCTGGTGGGTTCTGCCCATCTGTAGGACATTGACCTATCACATTGCATAAAGATGCACAATTTAGTTGGTACACATTTGTTTTATTCCCACCAGGCTGCTGCTCAAAGTTTGACCCCTGAGATTAACAAATCTTGAGTCTGATTGGCAGAAGTCTAGGGCAGATACCAGATACACTGTTCAGTCTCAAAATAAAGTATAATTGGGGACCCGTAGTAACTAAAGCAGACTATTGTAACCTGCACGTAAAGGCAGTATTGGCAAGCCAAATTCAACCTTGCAAAGGATTAATTTGGCTTGCCAGTGTTGTAGTATTTGGTGGTATACACCTCTCCCCGATTCATGATTGTATTCTTTAGGATTAACACCTCAGAGGATGAGAATCAAACAGATACAGATCATGAAAACCCTGTTCAACAGTGTAACACAGTTATGTTGGGACTCCTGATGTTTAACAGAGAAGCCTGTAGTCCAATGAGGATGGTATTAACATTATGATTAACCAGTTTGTCCCCTGTGGGTTGCTGCCTATAGGTTTTTGGCCCTAAGATTTGAAACAAATCTCAGCCTGGATGGCAGACCAGAGGGCAGATCCCAGATAACCTCCCTGTTCATTCTCAAAAAAAGTTACTGTTAGGGGTAGGGATGATATTGGTACACATTGGTAACACCGAGTCACACATAGTACATTGTGGGGTACTGGACAAATTAACTGTTCAGAAATACTGCAGTCAGGCAGTTTTATGTTATAAATATGGAATATTGGTGATTTCATCTACAGGCCAAACAGCAGATTGAGCAATATGGCGTGAAGCACACTATGTCCCCAGAGAGAGCTGCTAATAAATCGGCTGGGATAAGGCAAAGTGACATCCCACCCAGACATGCTACACCCCAGTCGTCTCCTTTGAAGCGCAATTCTGTACCTCCACAGGTATAGGAGCATTGTTTTCATGGTAGTCTCCCCTTGGAATGAGTTTGGCATCAGCATGAAGGCCATCAGTCTTCTCCACATTGTAGTTAAAGAGCCTCTGTTTTCATTTGTTAATTAACGGCATCCTGACAGCATTATGATGTATGCAGCATTTGCCTTCATATAATTCAGTGTACATTATCACTCTGCAGTAATGGTGTCTAACTTGTACAGTTAGTTATTTGTATTTCAGTCATCATGTTCCTTTGCCAGATGTTGCTCTCATCCTGGCACAGCTGAAAGCCCCTTTAGTTCCCTGCCACTTAGTGAAATTTTATTCCTAGGGTGTCCTTGATATCCTGTGTTCATATTGTGCTGATTCACCCCTGCCTCTTCTTATGGGAACCAAACCCATCATTACTTCCAGACATACATGATATTGGTTTTCTTTATTTATATTTCTTTTTTATCAGAATTGTTGTGCAGTGTTTGTGTACAGGTGGGTGAGAGTGACAGTAATCATGTACCGTGCATTTAAACCTAGATAATTAGGGTTCATCATTTTATCTGATGTTTTCAGATAGATGAACTAAGCCACGTTAGCGCAGTCATTAGGAGGCTCGCTTTCAAATTAAGCTGCGACTCACTGCAGCCACTGCCTGTGTTCGAAACCGGGCGGTCCTTGGGGTTCACCCAGCCTCTAAGAAATGGGTACCAGAGTTGACTCTCTGGGGTGAATGGAGGAACGCCGCAGGCAGACAGTTTCTTAACAGCTGTCTGTACTGGTAGCAGAGCTCTTTTGGTTTATAGCCGTATGCAATGACGCTGGTTCACATCTCCCGACTTTACCTTTACCTTTTTTATCATGACAATTACAGATAAGGTCACTCTCTTCCTCAAAGCTTTCCAGATATTTGTCTTTTTGTCCTCCCCTTGCTGTTTTCCTAAAAATTCCCTAGATGTCACCAAGTTTTTCAGTTTATTCCTTCTCAAGACATATTATAAGTCTTCCAGGGTCATGAGTCCATGTTCTAACATCACTGCAAACAGGTTACCCCATAACTGCTCCCTTTCTGGGCTAGTGGAAATCACACAAAATGTCCTTCCCTAGAGGGGAAACTAGCAAAACCTTGCCAGTCCCAGCAAAATCTTGAACATTACAGATGCAAAGTAAAAGAATACATCAAGTTTCCAGGGTGACCCAACTAATATTGGTACTAGGAAATGTTCTGGGAGGTAAAGACCCAGCAAGTACTGACTGCTCATTAAAGTTATAAGTTGTCACCACATGTCCTTTTTTGCTGATAGTATGCATAGAGTTCTTTATTAACTTATATAACATGTTAGAAAAAATCTCCACTGTCCATTTGTCCAATCCATATAGTGTTTTTATCTGTATGTTTGTGTGCACATGTGCATGAATGAGTACTTGCGCATTAGCATGCACATGTATTAAAAAAAATATTTAAAAAAGCAAGCAGACATATTTTGTCTTCAAATAGTTTTCCATAAAGGTCAATATTGTAGTTTCTTCTGTATTGGAGCAGGACCCTTAAATGTTTGTCTTTTTCTGCTAGATGAAGTTGCCTGCCCCCTGTCATCTTTTCTTACCATCCTCTTACATGTTTTGTTATATTCATTTTCTTTTCTTTTTTTTACTGTGTACCAGGTATATAATTTGACGTTTGGCAAGTGTAACATGTTACTAATTTAAAAAAAAGCATCACCATTATTGCAGTAGCTACTGTTGAAACCTAAAGACAAAAGTACTCAATACATTTGATAGCCATGATTTGACTTGTAGTTCATGTGTATGTGTGTGTAGATTAGATGGCTTTTAGTCAGCTGTTAATGTAGACACAGTAGAGATTGATAGCATGGCATGCATTCTGTTTTCTGCATTTCTTTGTTCATTTATGCTTTGTGTATTTGGTTTCCATTTCTTTTTAAAAATAATTATTAGATGACTGAGTATCACTGTGCTTCCTCACTCTTGCCGATATCTTTTTCAGTCAAATATTTTACATTTTGTTTAAAGTTATGAGTTATGATTTGGGTTAACTTCACGGCCCTCCAACATGTCAATAGATGCTCAGATTCTCTCTTCAACATATACATCAGCATCCAACGATTGATAGTCCCAGTCCTATTTTGGTTGACAAGACTTCTTGTGCATCCAGGGTGCTTCTTGTGCCTGGCTGTGCTGATCTTTACTCCCAATTCTTGCACTCTTAGCAAAGATTTAAATGTGCTCCTCCCAAAATTCTCAGATCATCCTACCTCTCTAATACCATTAACAGTGTCTGCATGAATTAAACGGCCAGCCCTCTGTAACTAAGGCAGAGCCGGCTAATCTGTCAGCTCTCTCATTGCCAACAAACCCACATACCCTGGGACAAAGATGAAGATAACTCCACGCGCTTTGGAGTTTTGCAATGACTCAATCCACTGTTTGCATACAAAGCCTGCCTCCACCCACCAGATCATGCTCATGGAATCACTAAGTACACACATGATAATAGCCCTGTGATGCTAGCCACATGATTTTGTTTGAAGTATCTGAGTACATGAATTACATTAGATGGAAGAGGTACCACAGAGATAATGAAGAGGCATTGGTCATTGTTTGGCTAGATTATGAGCAGAGAAAAACTGGAACAGGCTGTGACAACTGCACAAAATTACGGAAAGAGAAATTTAGAAAGACAATGGGCTACTTTATACTTTGTGTATGAGGGGGGGGGGCACTACCTCTTGTCGTAAAAGCCAACTAATTGGGTGTGTTTTCAGAGTATATCTGCCTGGGAGATGAGGAACCAGCAAACTCATGTTCTTGAATAAGAAGTGGATGAACAACCATAACTTTCCACCAGAGTTCACAGCCGTTGAACAAAAAGAAGAGGAAGAAGAAAGACATTGAGGGAAGACTAATGACATCCTTTTGGTGTGACACGGAAGGTATCAGCAAGTGGACTGATACATTTTGTTGGAGGTTGCAAGATGTTTGTTGTAAGCTTGTAGCCACACTGATTGCAACGCAGCTGATAATGACGATTTTAAAATGTTTTTTTTTTTAAATTACAAATGTTATTTTGTGTAAATTATATTGTCTAAAAGTCTTTCATTTAGATAAAACCCATGGTTTTAATATTAACATTTCTTTTTCATAAACATTAAATAATTTTGAATGTGTATCGCATGTCTTAAAATATCTGTTTTTGTAGTTTAATACATGTGCCTTCTTCTTCTTCTTCCTGTTCCCTGGCTGTAAACTCTGGCAGATAGTTCAGATTGTCCATCCACTTCTGGACTTTAGTCTTGTTTCAAAACCTGAATCTTGCATGCACTACTAGAGCTGGCTTTTTTGTGTGAAGACTTTTGGTTGATCACCTCTCAGGCAGATGCACTGAGTGATCACCTCTCAGGTAGATGCACTGAGTGATCACCTCTCAGGAAGATGCACTGAGTGATCACCTCTCAGGTAGATGCACTGAGTGATCACCTCTCAGGTAGATGCACTGAGTGATCACCTCTCAGGCAGATGCACTGAGTGATCACCTCTCAGGCAGATGCACTGACTTGGAAGGACTATCCTTGCCTTAGAAGTGCTTTTGGAAAAAAATGAGAAAAATCAATAAAACTCAGCATTAAATGAGAGGGATTCCACAGTAACAAGAGGAAAGAGTTACAGTTAAGCAATATGATGAGAATGTTTCAACAGAGTAGACTTCTCTTGATTCACTTTATTGGTTACAACAACAACAACACACACAAAAGATGTGACTGTGTACTATATATATAACAAACTTTTCTAGTTTTATAACAATTAAATAATATTTAAATAGAAACACCAATTATTTAATTGATTATTGTTTTCAGATGAAAAGAGGGCAAGGATCGCTTTAGAGATCCAGGGTAGTTAGCATCCTTTGGAAATTGTCTTCCAGTGATGCTGATGTATTGGGAAACAAATAGGCAAATAGACTGGCTGGTTCTGCACCACTTGGTGGTGAATTAATGCATGACAAGCTGGATGGTGTAAGCATCCTTTGGAAGTGAGTTACCAGGGGATCTTCTCAACACTCAATACTCAGTGGAAAGCCAAGACTTATACTATCACACTATTACTTGTGCCATCGGAATTTAAACTCTGCACTTGCTGCTTAAGATGGGGATGGATCACTTATGGGAATGTCTCAACTGCTGTGATGTTGATTCCTAATTTACCATTCAACATTCAACATTTTTTTAGATAAAGTGGACAGAGAAACAGAAAACAGGCTGAGATATAAAAAAAAAGGCATGGTTGGTGGAAGCGAGGGTATACAAGATAACTTTTGGATGAATGTTGATGAGAAATACTAGAGGTCCCTAACTAGACTCTGTACATGATATTGAAAACAATGACACAAGATATAATGGAATGGAAGAATTGACAGTGAGCCGTATGTGATATATGTCTGCACAACTAGATGATGATGATGAAAAACTGTATTAAATTTTTTTTTTGGGGGGGTTGAAAAACTGATTACTGATTTAAGAATTGACTTCATATCACACTGTGCATAATCATAGGTCTCCGTCTCCCGCAGCCAGTGTCTTAAGGTATAGATGCTAACTGTTCCCATAGCACACTGATTATGAGCTCTTTCTTGGTCCTGCCGTATATCCCTCCTTGCCTGAATCACACCTATTCCTTGTTCACAAAATGTTGTTTTTTTATAAAGGTAAAACTATGTTTTGTAAAACATGTAACAATTACTGCACTCAAAGAAGAAATAACAAGCTCAGTCCCAGTTAGAACAGGAATGAGGCAAAGATGTCTCTAATAGCAACAAATATAATTTCTTCAGCATGTTGATCTTTTCAGGTGTTTGTTATTTGACTATTTGAGTTAAAATTGTATAATTGCTTATGAATGTGAATTTTTTTTTAATCTTGATCTCATTGTATAGAATTTATGTCCTTTTTGTTTTTTCAGATGTGTTTTTTTTTTCCCTTAAATTTTAAATATAGTTTAA